GATGTGGGCGGGGCGGTGGCTGGGGGTGGGGCCTCCGCCCCGCCCATTCCCTACATCTGCGTCAAATTACCTGACATTCTCTACCCACCTTGCTCTTCGTAGAATCAGGGACGGACTTTTTTAAAAAAACGCAAACGTGTCATTACCGCTCACCGATATCCAGTCCCATCCACTAATGACTCAGGTACACCTTGCCCTCTTTGGGTGCTCCACTTTTCACTTCCTTTTAAGGCGGTCCTCCCCTTCCTCCCCCCTCTGGTTATCATTCCTTCCGTAGTTTGTCTCTCTGGGTCTGTCATCGCTTAAAGCCCTACTCACCCTCCTCCCGCCCTGTTTGTATGTCACTTTCTCACATAACATTTTTCTTGATATCCACCCCCCCGCCCACACACACACACTTTTTTGACTGAAGATTTTCTTGAATTCTAAGGGTGGTGGTCTTCTTTACATATTATCTTTTGCACCCCTTCTCACAAATAGGCGCCTGTGTTTTGGTGATGGCTGGGGGGTGGGGAGAGGTTGTCTCTACTAAGCACTTTTTGAAAAAAGCTAGAAATATGAAGGCTGGAGGGAGGCTCTGAGAACGAGCGGAGGAACTTTTAGTTTTTGAAAATGTTTTGATGTTCTCATTTTTCTAAAAGAGGGACAGAGGGAAACCCCATTTTCCCCTCTGCATGTGTTTATGCTTTTGTCAAGCGTACGGCTGAGCTAAGTCGCAGTGCACAGTGAAAAGGTGCCAGGGAAGTTCAGGAAAGAAGAATGAAGATGAAATAGGCATTTGCACTCTCTAGATACGAAGGGCATGTGTCTGGGCGATAGGCCCTATTTTCTTCCTAAATAATTGTGCATCTTTCATTGAGCCTTGTCGAAATGAAAAATGTTCCTGCTATTTTCCAATGCATTTAAATTAAAAATCAAATCCTCAGATCGCATATTGAAGAAAACTTACCGTAAGGGTACTTCTCCCCTAGCATCGGTCCTCTTGTGAAGAAATATACAGTGTGAGTCGGGTTGAAAGGAATCACCTGGGTCCTATCTGTTATGGTCAGTAAGCATTCATCCTCCTAAAATACTAGAGAAAAGTTAAAATGCCTAAAATTAATTTTGCAGGTCTAGCAGATTTTAAGAGTGCGGATCGTAGTTACTGTTTACATTCCGATGGCCACAAATGCCCAGCTAAAGGGAATGACCATCGATCACTGGTTTCTCCCTACTGGTTGCAGTTCACTTAGAAATGCTGGAATAGTAGCAGTCAATTGTGATTTTTAATGGAGAAGCAGAGGGCAGTTTTGTAATTTATGGGACTTCTTAGCAGACATAAAAGATTGCAAGAAATAAGTGCATTGCCAGGATGATCAGTTGGTGGGAATTTACTGTCTGTTCTGCCCTTTTAGTTAACATCCATCCAAAGAGAGAGGTTATTAAAATGGAAGAAGCCATTATACCTTTTGATATGGAATATATATTAAAGTATAGTTCGCAAAGCAGACTGCTGAGCTAAAAACCCAAGTTTCTACTGGGACTGTCGGTGTCTCACTGATATTACTTTACCTTTCTGTGCTTTCATTTTCTTTCTATAAAAAGGCACTAATGGTAATTTTGACACACTTTCTACCCAGAGATAACAAAAGGATGCTACAGTGAATGTAAAAGGGTCTTGAGCTCCTTAAATAAAGGGTGATAAACAAATACATAAGAATCTACTTTCAAAAAAAGAGTATTCTTTCCCACACACATCCCTGCTAATTCTATATTGACCCAAAGGCAAATGATAGGAAATGTATAACAATTACAAGTCTGTGTCTGTGTATTATAGATATGTATGTGACAGATGTAAACAGAATGAAATGAAGACAATAATGAAAAATTATTTGGGGGGATGTGATAAACAGATCATTAAACATATATTTGACCATAAAAGATTTTTCTCATGACTTACTTAAGCAGGGCCCTTTGTAGAAAAATAATCTGACTGATTTCTGATTTCTGTGGTGTGCTGTGGTGTTAAGTGCTGGTTATAGTGTGTCTTCATGGAATTCTTGACAATGGAGTTGGGACAAAACATGCATTGCTTGTTTTTGTGATGTTTCTGCTGTTAACCTTAAACGAAAATTCTTTAAAATATAGATTGGCTATGCAGTGAAATAATCGAAAGGGAAATGTTGTCTAAGAGTGTCTGCACATATTTAACCCAACTACCAGAAGAAGGAAGGATCAATTTCTCTCTGTAGCTCTAAGCTTAAAGAACAGTTTGAGTGTGACATAGTGGAACCTTCATATGGTGGGAGAAACAGGGCTCTTGCTGTATAAGTAACCAGCCACCCAAAGCTTAGTGGCTTAAAACAGCTACCTTTTCTTCATTCATAAGTCTGTGGATTGGCTCAGCGTGGTTGTTTCTTCAGACCTGGGTGAGCCTCATCATCCCAGCAGGCTAGCCTGGCCTTGTTCTCGTGGTGGGGGCAGGGTCCCAGGAGAGCATGCAAAAATGTGCCAAGGTTTTTGAGGCCTAGGCTCACACTGGCACACTGTCACTCTGGCACTTTCTGTCAGCCAAAGCAGGACCCTACCTACATACCTGCCGCAGGGGCATCGTTCAGAATAAAATGGTGCAGGGGAGAGTCGTGTGCCTGGGAGCAAGAGGGGGAGTGTTTCCCAGCCTCTAACACATGGTTTCTTCCCTGGTGATGCAGAGTACGATGAATTCCTACAACCGGAGGGACAGCACATTCTCACCTAGGCATCAAAATTCTTTCCAAAGCCAAAAATAGGTGATTTGGGAGCTGGGTCTACGGTACTGCTGCATTCCGCTGGCACCGTCATTGAAAAGCAACTCTGTTTGTAAAATCGAGAAAACTGATGGGATACTTTGGGCGGAGGAACCTGTTATGTAAATTGGTAAATGATGTCGTGGTCACTGCTATGCTGATGCTACAAACAAACAGCGATTGGGTACAAGGCGCAAGGGTGAGCTCGAGCAGAGGTGCCGTCTTTGGTGGGAGAGGCATAATTTTGAGAGTCTCCGATGGCACATGACTCTCCTTGGGCATCTGCTTTGAGGAGCTGTGGGATGCTCTGGACATGAGTTGTACAACCCTCTTTTGGAGAGGGGAGAAAGCATTCAAAGCCGTGACATTCGATTGGTGAGCCTTCATTTTTGATTGAGTGTGCTTTTGATACTTGGGCCCTGAGCACTCCTGGAAAGGAGATGAAGGTAGTTGGTCCTTGGGAGTCTGGAACTATCCTAGAGAACTAGGGAAGACTGAAGACATCGCTCTGCTCCGGGGCACCAGACGAGGCTGCTGGCAAGGGGTTATGTGGACAGACTACCTTGTAACTACTAAAGCTTTGCCCTAAATAGGTGGAGACCTGAAAGCGGGCTGCGGCTGGGCCAGCAGCAGGCACACGCATGTCAGGCTGGTATCACTGAAGCCGAGCCCAGAGGTGCGGGATGGGCCACAGATGCTGGAAACCCTGGATGGACTCCATGCAGGCCCCGCTAGGAAACTTGGTGAATGGTCCCAAGTTCCCCAAGTTTCTAACACATTTCCAAGAGGGGAGGGACACCTACGTGACCTCTGACCGTGACCCCCTCCACTGTGGTTTCTCATGGCCCTCGGGAGCCTGACCTTCTCTCTGTCTGTCCACCTCACCACTCCACAGTTCTCTTGACCCAGGTCAAAACTCTTCCCTCTATCCCCCTTAGTGAAACATACACAGGAACATTTCCCAAAGACTCTTCATTGAAAAATAAGGTTACCAATAGAATGAAAGTTTAAGTGACCAATTCCAGGTTTCTTATAGTGATTTCTTATGGGCAGGTGTAGCCCCCAAAACAAGGCTACGTGGTCTGTAGAGTCATGAGAAAAACTACATTCTTATCATGAGACTCTTACGAGCTGCCTTAAATTAGGCAGAGGCAATAAAACATCTTACTTTAAAATGGAAAAGCCAATTCACATTTATTGGCTCCCATGGCCTTTTTATTTCAATGGCAAAGGAATCATGAAAAGAAAATACATACTTAAAGCTCTTAAAGAGCTTTTTCTAAATACTGTATCAGTGGGAAAATAAACAACTTTTTCATCAGGTTTGTTGAGTTTGTGATTTATATTCAGTAAGATTCACCCTTTTTAGGTATACGGTTTTATTATAAGTTTTGACAAAAACATGTTGTTGTGTAACCACCATCACCCCAATCAAGATAGAGACTATTTCAGCACCCCACAAGTTCCCCAGTTTTGTTTAGTAGTCAGTCCCCCTGGCAACCACTATCTATTATTCTCTGTCCCTATATTTTTGCCTTTTCCAGAATGTCATAAATGGAATTACTCTATTGGTAGCCATTGGAATTCGTCTTCTGCCAGCAAAATGCTCTTGAGATCCATCTAAGTCGCTGGGTGCATCGGTAGTTAGGCCCCTTTTATTGCTGCGCAGTATTTCATTGTAAGGATGAACCAGGGTTTACCTATTCACCAACCTTTGGATTCTTTCCAGTTTGGGGAAATTACAAATAAAGCTGCTATAAAAACTTGTGTGGACATGTATTTTCATTTCTCTTAGGAATGAGATTGCAGGGTCACATGGTGTGTGTGTATATATATATAGTATATATATATATTTATATATATATATAT